AAAAAAATCTGCGAAGGTTACTGCAGTGATGTTTCATCTCGAGGCTGGACTGATGTACTTGCACTCTCAGAAGGGTTCCTCTGATTAGCTGTCTGTCCATAAAAGCTACCTGCCCTTGGCAAATATTTTTTTTTTTCTTCATTTTTTATACTAGAATGGACGACAAACAGTCCTTTCGACATTCGCACAATCTTCTCTTGCCGCTCCTCACTTTCTCAGTCAAAAATACGTAATTAATAGTAGCGCGCACGCATCTTGTAAACAGTGTAACTGTCTGGAATAGATGTGCTGCCCAGCGCATCTGGCCATTGCGTAACACTGACAGTCGGCGCCAACAATGACCTGAATTATCCAGTAAACAACTGGAGGGGAAATCCAGCAAGTAAGAGCGCCTTTTGTTTGTAGCTTCAGATATGCCGCAATAATAGCCCTCCTCCGTTCCCACTTTTAGCTTCACATCGCCTTCTAGTGTTCTTACCATTCTTTTCTTCACTTCACCCCTATGCAATTTGCTCTTCACTTACATGAGGGATAGGGAGCTGATTTTCGCTCTTATCTGTATGCTACGTCCGGTCTCTGTTTACAACTAAGGAATGAAACACAGACTACATCCAAAAATGTTTTCTTGCACATGACATTTCGACTTATCTGTTATCTTCTACTCTATTATTTCAGGATCAATGATACAGGCAGTGCGGAAATGCACTGCTTTCAACGGCATTTTTTAGAGGTAAAAATGCAAAAAACAACTGAGACACTACCTTTATAATATCATCGCCGGGTAGCTGTACTGCCTTTGCGCTGCCATCAGCGAAGAGCTGCGCATTGCTTTCCTGGCCAGTGCATATTCGAGTCGCTGTTATGTTGTTATATTTTGAGAGATACTTATCCAGCTGCTCGGTGTATTTCAGGTAGGAGGATTTGTCTCGAATGTTAAATTTTACCAGTGTTGAATCGGGATTTTCCACGAGCCAAGGTTGATAACCAACTCCTGAAAAACTGTGACCAACATCACAGAAAGCGATAGTCGATGGACACTAAGCTACAGTCACCTCCAATCGACCAAGAACGAACCCA